CCCTAAGGAAATAATGTGGGTTACAGTTGCTCCAAGAAGAAATGGTAAAAATAGTAACAGTAACACTATAACTATAAAAGACGCATCTCCTGGATGCACTGGTATGCATCTTCAGTGATGTATCCTGGGGTCATCAGGTGTTTCGGGTCTCACAACATCATACACCCTCGCCCAGGCGACCCAGCCGGGGGTGATCAGGCCCCGACTTGCGTACCAGTAGCTACCCACGGATCAGCCCTCTTGATCCACAGCCACCTTGTGGCTTTCTCTGCCACTTCACTCACAGCCTGGATGGCCCTCTTCTTGGCTGCCCCAGCCACGCCCAGCCGGCCTAAGACTTTGCAGAGTGATTGTCCTGCAAAGCCCCTACAACCCACTTCTATGGGCTCATAGAAAGTCTTCCAGCCCTTTCCCCTGCACTCCTGCACTAGTTCCTGGTACTTTCCTCGTGTCCTTTCATTGGCTTTCTCGATCCGCTCTCCCCAAGGCACTGTGAGTTTCAGCATGATCAGCTGTTTTTAGGCCTCAGAAATAATTATCATGTCTGGCCGGAGGGATGTTTTTGCAATGTTCTGAGGGAACTTTAGGTGTTTACCCAGGTCAGCCTGTAACAGACTAAACTGAAATCACAGAAAACAGAATTTTATTTACAAACTCCCGGTGCACTATATACAGGTGTAGGAGAAGGGGGCCAAGGTTCCCAGGGGTACAGGGAAGAATCAGGAAAAGTGTCCTCTCTTGCTCCGCTCCACACAAACAGAACAATGCACTTGGAAAGGTCCCCTCGTGACATTTACAGTGTGTTAGATGGAGGAGTTGTACAGGGAGATGGCCACAAGCAGGAATCCTTTCTTCTGTCGGTCAGTGGTGCCTTTTGGTAATCTTAGTCACTCACTGAACATGCTCATGTGACTAGCCAGCATCTCATGTCATAGAGTGGGTGGGAGGTATTATCCAACAATGTCTTTATCTTGGAAAACATCTGCTTCTCAGATACCACCCTAACGGAGTCCAGCTCCGTCCCCACAACATTACTGGCCTTGTGGATCAGTTAATTTAGTCTGTTGGCATCTGTGACCCTCAACCTGCTGCCCCAGCATGCAACAGCATAGAGAATAGCACTGACCACAACAGAGATATAACGAGATAACATCAATTAGTAGGGATAGTGAAGTGTCACTTGGCTATGATAGTAAACAGTAGACACTGATGTAGCTTACTGAATCTTTTGGACTGGGTTACGTCAAGTTGCACGTTTTGTGAGGTGATTTTGTGAACGGATTACATTTTTTATTTTATTTTATTTTTTATTTCTCTCCGATATCCGATCCAGTAATTTAGGTCAGTATCGACCGATACCAATACGTTATATCGGATCGGTCCATCTCTAGTACAAGAACAAGCACAAACACACAACAACATATAAAAAAATGTCCATGTCCATATAGTGGACGTCCTCCTCAGTGAGAGAGGCAGATATGAGCTGAAACCAGGGACGCTGCTGTTATGGAGCTGAACTGGAACCATTCAGACACTGAGGCCCTCTGAACACATTTTAATTACAGCTGTGCAGAGACACACTGATGACTGACTGGAACACTGTGATTCACATTTTACATGAACACCATCCTCACACATGGTTTATATTTGACCACCAGAGGGAGATGTTGGACTTTAAACACTAACATGGATACAAGCAGATCATCAGTGAGCTTTCATAGTTTGTTAAAGAATGAACAAAATCAGCATGGGCAGTTCTAATGAAATGGTTACATTTACTGTAGATAAAGATTAACTCAGTCCTGTGTGATGCTTTGACTTTTTGATATTAAAATTAATATATCATCTGATAACATATATATTTTTAAACTCACATCACCTCTTTTACTAAAATGATGACACACTGACAACTTTCCATGAGACCCAGTGAATGAAAAGAACTAGTTGTTCTTTTAAACTTTCTACCTGATGTTAAATGTCATTAAAAATTTTGCAAGTCAGTTCCTAGAAATCAGGAATCCTGTTCTTCAACCTGTAAACATCTCAGAATTGGTCCTTTATACAAAAATGTTAAGCAAGGTGACAGCAAAATCCAACAGGTTCAGCAGATCGTCTCCTTACTGTTTTTAGCAGACAGCATCATATCAGCTTGCTGTGAGATTTACATTAAGGTACTAAAAATGACTCAAAGCTGCTCCCATCAGGAGTCATCACAGGGAGATCTCTGCAGGTTTGCTTTTGCACATTTTTTTAAATTCCTACACCACATGCATTTCCTTACAAAGTGATTCTCATTTTAGAATAAAACTAGGGATCTCTTGCTTGTAAGGCAAAGGTTCATCTAAGTCTAGATGAACTAGAAATAATAAATAATGGACAAAACCTGAGCAAATTAATGTTTGTCACACGAATCCATCCCCATGCAGCAGTTGTATGATGGTTTCTACAGAAGAACAGCTGGAATCAACATCTGCACATTTCTTCTCTAAACAGAAACACAGTTACACACAGAGGCTGCTCTGATCCATCAGTGACAGTCAGCACCGTACTGAGACTTTTCCCTCCGTTGACACAAATTAGTAAGCACTTCCTGCTTTTTTCTATCACATTAAAAGCTCACTTATGAAGGTTTGACTGCTACACTTTTGTGACTATGACAGTATATGTATGAAATGAATGTTCTGCAAGATGTTCAGAGACACGAGTTTAGAAATAAAAACCCTTTTATATGAACATGTCCCAAAAAGAGCCTTTAATAGTACGTTACCTGCTGTGGTCTGATACATATATGAAAAGTCACCAGTCCAGCCACTGGAACCCAGTTTCTGGTGTTCACCAGCAATAGGACCTGAGGACATTAGCTTAAGTCTGTGTTCTTTTTTTCTAAGCTTATATTCACAAAGCCAGAAAATAACATGTTTCATGTAAAACACTTGAACAAATACCCTGTAAATTGGAGGGTAAAAAGGATTGAAATTAAATAGAATATATTTTCTTCATTTTTTAATCATCTTTGTCTCGTCGTGATTCAACTCGGTTTAGGATGAAAACAGAGATGACTGTTTGACTCAAAATGTAGCACATAAAGACAAAAGGACCATAATGTTTTTGTATATGAAGAAACTACACAAACAGTGCTTGGTAATGTTTTTAGCTCAACCTTCTATTTACTAATTTAACATGAATGCATAATTATATGAATCAAATTAAATGAGACTTGGCTTTGGTCTGTCCTGTAATTCCTCTGCCTGATTATTCAGAGCCACAATAATATTGATATGTTAATGAAACAAGTGGATGAGCCATAAAAACATGCATCTTCTAAGTTCAAATGTTTCAGAGAAGTTCGTACTATACAGCAAGCAGCTTTGTTATTTGGCGGCTCTAATGTCGTACCCTAAGCATCGGCCAGAAGAACTGAAAAATTGAAGCATCCACACCTGCAGCTCTTCTAATGTCCTCTTGAGGTCGGCTCCAAAACATAAAAATAGCTTTAAAAAAAAGCTTTGGTCTCTGCGGATAGTTTTTTCCATCAGCATTATGAAAACAGAGGGTGGTGGATTTTTTTCCTTTACAGCTTATTCATAACTCATAGCTTGCGGTCACTTTGACAGGTGTCCTAACACAGATTGCTTGTCTGTGAAGTTCCATGCCAATCACAGATATGTTACAGTCGTGGCAGGCTGTTGTGCAATTTGGGGAATCTGAAACTGGGGACGAACTCCATGACCTCTGTGTTGATGTTGATGTGTATCACACTGTGTGAGCTGTTCTTGGCATTCCTGAAATACACAATAACACCTTGGTCATAGTATTATTAAGACTAAGTTAAATCTATAACCTCCTCCATATACATAAAAACACAAAAACCAAACCAAAACCCTTCATAAAAATACAAATATATAATAACAATGACATAAAAAAAAAAAAAAAAAAAGCTTTACTGCCATGAAGCAAATCACTTTTAAGAATTACATTTCCAGCTATATCAAAAAAAGATGTACTCAAAGCACCCCCTTATGGCTAAACATGAATACATACTTGCTGGGCTCAGTCAGCTGATATTACAGTAATGTGCCATTATTGTCCATTACGAGTCTGTACACTGTTGAAGCATCTGTAAACAATGCAGTAATATTTGAGTTGGCAGTTATGTGTGACAATTGCAAGTAATTCTCCAGAAAGCAAATCTCCCAGGAGTCCACAAACCCCTCCACCACAACAGGGAGGAAATTGAAGGGGGTAACATGACAGGTGCAGACATAACCTGAGAATCTTGATTCTGTTTGTTTTGTTAACATTTTCAGATGAATTTCCACGAGCGTTCAGACATGTCTGCACTAGAGATGGACCGATCCGATATTACGTATCAGTATCGGTCCGATACTGACCTAAATTACTGGATCGGATATTGGAGAGAAATAAAAAATGTAATCTGATCCATTAAATATCACGAAAGCACCTCACAAAACTTGTGACATGGCATAACCCAGCTCATAACCGTAGCACGTCGGAGCAGTATGCGTCACGTGATACAGCGGCTGTGGTGTGCGAGACCTGTTGGCGGTCTGGTTGAGCATTTAGAGCCTCGCTACCAGACCGGCATTTCATCTCCGAGAAAGTTATCCCAGAGAGAAGTAAAGCAAGTGTGTAAATTCATCTCTGAATGTTTGTAAAGCATTTCCACGTTAAGCTTAACACCCAATATATGGAGCGACCTCTCTCTCCCTCCCTCTCCTGCTGCTACTTCAGTCATGAAATTAATGATCAGCTGATCGGCTTTTCTCTCTTGTTTGTTTTTGGTCAACTTTGCGCCAGAAAGAGGAAACCAGCTGCTAAACAACAGCAGCAGGTTTAAGCTTGATAATCTGTTGTTAGAATTGATTTAATATTACTTTGTACACCAGGATCCTTTTCTAAGTAGCTGACAGCTGGTAACTGTGCAGGGGCGGATCTAGCAAAGTTTTCCCAGGGGGCCAGGTGGGGCATTAACAGGGAGAGGGGGCACAAAGAAATACTTTTCTTTCTTATTCTCATTTAAAAATGTCGAGCTTGTTGCACCTGTTTTTTTCACTGTGACGAGTGAAATATAAATATATTGCTTTCTTTCCCTGCTCTTCATCACTGGACAGAGGCGAGAATTCTTCATCAGTTTTATAGTCATCACAAGCAGGCAAATTGCACAACAACTGATATAACAGCTACCAGTCCAAGATGTCTATTGACTCCATTCCTTCTTCCCCCCATATTTTCCGAGTCCTCCTGGCTGACCTGCAGGTGAGAAACAGGTGTGAGGTGTCAGCTGTCAGGTAGGTGATGAGTGAAGAACAGAACAGAATCCATTTGCTCTTCAAACTGCTGTCAGACATTATCTACTGCACTCTGATGTCACTCTCTGGAAGGAGTCCTGCTGTTTCCTGAGGAGTATGAGGATGAAGTAGTTCATTCTCAAGTGTCAGAGTGGCATCAGGAATCCTTGTGGAGTGTTGGTGACAGCTGTTTTCTTCCGGGTCATTTCTGTCATTGTGTTCATTAGCAGGCGATTCAGAACTCAGAAATCTCTGAGACATTTCAATCTGTGGTTCAGTGGTGGGGCAATATGAGTCCTGGCTACGTTGTTTATATTTTCTGTAGATCAAATAACCAACAAAGGCACTACCAACAAGAAGAAGGAAAATAACAACTGGAAGACAAACTTTCAGTCCAACAGATCCATCCTCTGTGTGTCCTCCTGTCTGACCTGCAGGAGATAAACAGGTGTGAGGTGTCAGCTGTCAGGTAGGTGATGAGTGAAGAACAGAACAGAATCCATTTCCTCTTCAAACTGCTGTCAGACATTATCTACTGCACTCTGATCACATCACTCAGACCAGCTGCTTTCTACAAAGTCTCATCAACAACATCTTTAGAAACAAACATCAACAACCAGGAAGCAGCTTCACCTCTGATCACACACACACACTCAACTCTACTCACTCACCTGGAGGAACAACATGAAGGTCGATGCTGTTGATGAGCCTCATACTGTCTAGCTCGTTCTTGACACAACACTCGTATGTTCCAGTGTCATTAATCGTCACATTCTTCAGAATCAGAGACACGTCTCCATCCTTCATCTGTCTGTCCTTCAGATCCACCCGGTTCTTAAAAGATGGATGCTGGTTGTCTGGATCAAAGCGTTCATTCCGGTACAAAAGCACATATTTATCTCCCAGGTCAGCTCTGCTCCACTCTACAATAATAATGGTGTTGTTGTTAGGAGCTCGACATGTCAGAGTGACGTTCTTTTGTCCAGATGTGATGTTTCTGTGATCTGAAAGATGAAACAACACAGAGCAGAGAGGTTAAAAGTACAAATGTTCACATATACAGCAGCTAATCTGAGTGAGGATGACAAAGAGACTGCTGAGCTCTCCTGAACCGAACCAGATGGAGCACATTATCTGGCAGACCGGCCATCACCCAGTTTATTTTGAAAAGGTGAATTTGAATGAAATGACCAATAAAATTAACAAAAGTGATCACATTTCCTCTTTACTATCATTGGCAGAAAATTCTTATAGAACTCATGAAACAAAAATGTTAGATAGTTGATAAGTTAAATTCATAGTTAATCTCAAAAACTGAAGTAAAGTGGGATGCACACAAGACAGCAGCAGTCAGAGAAATGTTGAGCCGGTTAATAAACGTGAGCTATGTAGTGTCATGAAAATGACAAACAAGCAAGCAGAGCTCACACCACAGTTTGCAGAAAGAGATCATCACCTTCACTCACTTCTTTAAGACTCACTCTTGAAGAAGATGGAAGGTGATGAAGAGGATTTATTGCCCTAATGGAAGAGCAAACCGACAACTGTCTTGCATGTGTAAGATTCAAAGTAGGACACCAAAGTGTTAGCAGGTCAGAAATATAATTCGGAGTAGAAAGAAGTCTTGGGACTCACATGGACCTGTGGGAGACTCATAGAGTTGTAAATAGGTATGCCTAAGGTTTTAAGAGCAATAGGTCAAAATTCTCAGGGGGTAAAATGTCAGTCTCTACTGCTACCTCCAGGTTAAGGGCATGTGATCATGATCCCACAGTGTGTATAACCCATCACATTATGCAAGTGCAGGTGTCATCACATGGGAGAATGTGCCAACAAGCTTTAGTGTGCACACAAGCTCATGTCACCTACATCTAGGTAACATGTGTGGGTGACAGGGACTGTAGTAAGGCAACATCCAGCACCTTGTTGATCTTGAATGTGCCTTTTTGAAATATATGTGTCACCTTTTCCTTTGGACAGACCGGGGAGGTAAAAGGATATTCAGACAGCTGCACAAAACTGTACACTAGCTCCTTCCCAACCAACTCTTAGATCAAGAGACTCCAAACTGTGGCTCTAAGGTTTCATGAAGCTCTTTTGCCCACCATCAGTTGCTCCCCCTCTTGGCTCTGATTTTTTAAAACAAAGATACAAAAAGATAAAGATACAAACAAATATATGAATGCAGAAAGTAAAATCATTTTTTTTAAATAAACTAATAAATTATTTATTTGTAGCTCCAGAACTTTAAAGCTACTCTGGTTGAAAAGACACAGAACATAGAAACATATCAAAATGGTTAAACTGAGATGTCTAACTATTTAGAGATCTTAGAGAAAAGCAGAGTTTCAAACAAGTACAGACAGGCAGAGATTCACCAGTCCACAAAAAACAGATTCTACAAATTGTGGAAGTTTTAAGAAAAGTTTGTCACAATAAAATGGTAAGGGTTTTGAATGTCTCATCATTTACAGAACATGTTATCATCAGAAGATTCTGAGCACCTGGAGGCAAGGTACAAGCTAAAAGTCAATGTTGTAAGCCTCTGATATTTGAGGCCTCAGGTAGCTGTGCATGAAAAACAGGCGTGACCCTGTCATGGGACTCAATGCATGAGCTCAGGGAAAGTGAAAAACCATCCTATGATCAGAAGGTTTAAGATCTTTTTGGAAAATGTGGACGTCATGTCCACGGGACTAAAGAATAGAGGAACCATCCAGCTTCATTTCAGGGCTAACTTCACTTCAAAAATCTGAGGGGATGGGGGTGTATTAATCCCAAAATAAGCAAATAATATTCCATATTCCATTTTTTAATGAAATAAAAGGGTTAGGGTCTATCCCCAACCCTAGGGCCTGAGCTAACACTATTTGTAACATTTGTGAGGCTATTTCAGTTATTTAGTAATTCAGCGCAATGCACAATGAACCCATCTGTACAATAAAATGCAAAGAAAAATAAGTTTTGATGAGCTTGGTTGACTTTTAATCTTCCTGGGAATTTGTGTGATCAGGTTTATTTCGACACACTGGAACAAACAAAACTACAAGCTTTTTCTTATTTTTCAGATAATTCAAAAGTAAATATTTAACTAAAAACTACTGAATGCGTTTTCTTTCCTTAGAAAAAAATACATTTTATTTTCACGGTACAATTCTGAGCTGAAAACTTCTTCCTGTTTTATTTTCTCCCTGAAAGCAGTTCCGGCTCTCTCCTCTTAAGATCATTTGGCTCTCTCTAAAACCATCTGTGCTTCGGAAACTCGACATCACAAAAAGCAGCTGCAGTGTTTTAGAATTTAAGTTAAACAGAAAACTTATTAACAACACACAATTTCATATTGGATGCTAATGTTTTTAACGTGTAAAATTCCCAGGGTGCCACATTAACCCAAGGCAAAGAAGAGCAGAGACTATTGCCTTATAAGGAAATACCTAAGAGGCAACCAATGACAACAGTACACTGTTTTTCACATATTATAAAAGTTATTTATCTGTGTGACTCGGGGCTCTACATGATGCCTTGAAAGCCCAGCTGTGTGTTGTTTCAAATATCCAACCTCCTAATAACGACTGATTTTAGTTTAAGTAGTTTTCGGGCTTTTTCCTTTAAGGATAACGAAAGTAAAAACAAAAATCTGGACAACTTTGGACTTTGGACTTAAACCCACGGTCATTTACACAGACACGCGCTCCGTGAACGTTACTTTGAACGAACTTTCTTACCCGCAGAGGACGATGTCATCTGCATGACAAATAGCACTGATAGCAGAGATATTCCAGCCATTTTCACTTGGTTAAAACTTACAAAAATTAAATAAAACTCCGACAAATAAATTCAATTGAATGAATCAAATTATTTATTATTAGCGAAACCAATTTAAAGCGATCGGTGAAAATAAAAGAACGGCTATCGTTTCGCTTACAACTTCATGGTCAGGCAAAAGCTGCGTAAAAAATGAAATCATTGTGCAGGCGTAGTTTATATAACCTTTGTTTTCCAGAAGATTCTGGCTTCTTCTGGGTTTTTCTGGTTGTGAAGTAGAATATAGAAGTCTTCACCTGAAGTCCGATGTTGGCACTTCCGCGTTACAGAATACAAACAAACAAGAGTTGCCGTCCCATAAAGAATCCATGCACGACTTCAAAACTGCTACATTTTTATGATGGAAAAGAAATACAGAGGTTTTTTGAAACACGTTTGAGGCAATTGTACTGGAATTGTATCAAAACAATACAAGTTTCAAAACAACGACAAACATCTTCACGCTGACATCTACTGGCAAATTTATGCCATCGTCACATCTGGCAGGTCTGTTCTCTAAAACAGTGACGCACCCAGGCATTACGCAATTTCGAACAAGGCTGTTTATCATACCAAACTATGAATAATTATGAATAATTATAATTATAATTTTAAGCTTTCTGGGAGTTAGAGTCTTCAGGGGTGTCTTACGCTCTATCTGCTCTGTCAAACAAAGCTTTAAGCTGTCTGTTGGCCTATTAGCCAGGGCCCACTTTGCCATGTCCGCCTCCACCCTGTCCTGTTTAAATGGTTGTTTAGGACCATGTCCTTTCTCCTGATAACAACATGTAGAGCTACCCAAATAATATTAAATACCTTCTCCTTATTTACCAGGAAAGAATCCTGCGTAAGAGTTCATTGAGTAAATCTGTTCAACTGGTCAAATGTTTAACCTATTAAGTTATGTAATCTAGTGAGCACTGAACTTTTTCTATCCTCTGAGTTCCCTGTTTGTGGGACGGTCATTAATATCACTGCAATTTCTCTGTGTGAACTGCCAAATGATCTGCAGCTCTTTTGATTCTGTTATTCAGTAATGCAAATGATGTTTTAACATGACCATACATCTATCATGTCTGTTGATCCATCTGTGTAAATGTCCATTTAAGTTTTTAATTTAATATGCAAAGACATTTTTGCTGTTTTTACTTTCTGCCCCTTGAAGTTTCATAGCTGACTGATTGTTCATGGAGGAGCAGGTGGATCCATTTAAACACTGAAGCTTCTTTTCCACAGCCTAATAACAGAGAAGTGGAAATGACCTCAGTTTGTAAAAAGATCAAAGCAAAAATAATTAACTGAAGAGTTATGCGTGCCATGTGTGTGCTGTGTTACAGTAGCTGCATTTCCAGCAAAGCAGAAGAGACTTAGCAACAGATTAAAATCAAGTGTAACAACATTTATATTTCTCTCCATTCACAAAACTAACACATTCTAATTCGAGTCAGAATGCACTCGTGTAACGTTACAACTGGGTTTATTCACGAGTTATTTAGAAATATACATTCAAAAGAGACTCACATATAAAACGTATCCCCCAGGCAGGAAACTAAAAGAATAAGTGAAGAAACACACATAAAACTAACATTAAGCACAACACAGCTCCATAACCCATTTCAACCATTTCATAGTAGACCTATGGTTAGGGCTGTAATATACACTGAATAGGTGAATATATTTAATATGAAGAGCCAGCAGCTATTTTGAGCTTACAGGTCAAACAACAACAGAAAAGTTAATGTGCAGCAACTGAGCACCAGCAAGTTGCTGGTTACATGGTAGCTTTTGGTCCTTCATATTATTTTCAGTATCACATTTAATGACATGTAATTTTCTTCCCCTCCCCCCTTTCCCCCACCTGTCCTATCCAGCAGTGTAGCAATCACAATTATTGTCTGTAGGACCAGAAAAATGACCAACAGATTTACTTTCCCAAGTGGATCATTACGGCGTTCGCTATACTGGTCCACTTGATTCTCACAGCTTATTCGATTTTTATTAGGATTTATTTATTTTCACGTATTACAATCAGAGCAGACAGGGCTGGGGACAAGAAAAAAAAAGGAAAGAGAAGTTAAGGAAGAAGTTAACACAAGGAGAGGGGAAAAATAGAGGAGAAGAGGAATAGAGAGAGAAAAGACACTGCAAGTCTGCTTCAACACCTGCTGAAAACAACATGCAGAAAACAACACAATAGATCGTTGTCACTGATGAGGCCAATCACCGTGGTGTCATCTGCAAACTTAATGATGGTGTTGGAACCATCAGCAGGTCTCTGCAGTCGTGGGTGAAGAGGGAGTAGAGGAAAGGGCTCATCACACAGCCTTGTGGTACACCGGTGTTCATTGTAGAGCTAATCTCTATTATTAATTTTTCTGTTTTTGTTTCTGTTCTCAGACTGTGTACAGCAAACAAACTGCAGAGGGTAAATCTACAGTGAAGCCGAGAGGTCAACTAAAACAGCAAATAGAAGGAAAAAACCACTGCAAAAGCACACAAAACACACTGTAAGATAAATAAAACACAATAGAGGTAGAATAAACCCAAATCTCATAAAACACAACTGAAGTATTCTTGGAATGACAATAACCTAACAAAGTAGCTGTGGAAGTAACAGAAACCAAAACACATGAATTACTGTTACGTGTTTGAAAGAAGAGGATGGTTCCCGGGTGCTGTGATGGAGAAAATGATGCAGGGTAATGTGTGCTGTAATCGCTGCTAAACCTTCCTCTTGTGTTAGCTTTCTGTTATCATCTCTTATGTTAACGTGCCAGCTATTAAATCAGCTATAAAATACACTAAAAACAATAAGCTACCATCCAATTTGTTTCTCATCTCATGGTTACCTTGTTAGGCTTCTTATCTATGAAAATCTTGGTTTTAATAATTTTGGTGTGGGCCTCTGGGTCTTTTTTGTCACTTTACCCCTCGATTTCAATAAAAAAAAAAGGTAAAATTAACCTCAAGAGAATCATATTAATAAATAAAAGGTTTTTGTGTTACCTGACTAATACTGAGGGGTATAGGACACATCTCTTAAATAAATTTGTTTGATTGATTTTTTTCATTTTAAGATTAATAACTAAAATTACATCTATGGTGATGTCATTACATCAAGAAAAGGCAAAAAACAAGTATTTTTATAATTTATTTTTTGTTTTCAGCGGTAGACCTTTAATATAATCTGGAAAAAGTCCACTCCTCCTTTGTTTTGGTTATAGTCATGGGTAATTTTTATGGCCTATTTCACTGGCTTACTGGGTGTGTATTGCCGGAAGGGACATTTTCCTCGAAAAGCAACAAGACGTTCATCCACTGTCACCTCTGGGATGAACATCAGCGGAAGGAGCTGCACCCATCTCTCCCAGACATCCCTGATGGGAGCAAGCTTGTTAGATCTCGCTCTGGCCTCTCTGTCGTTAAATCCGAGGACTCTTGATATCATTTGAAATGTGTGAAGTGACATTGTTCTCTGGAAAATACTCCTGCTTGACGATGGGTCCCACAGACTATCAGTGGCCTCATTGCAGCATCTGTACACTCAGCAAGGAGAAGAACACCAATGAAAGCATCCAGGTATTCCTCATAACTATCTTTCTACATGGACTTTTTTTTCCTTCAAGGTTCATCATAGTAATGATGATCCTTTTTAGCGACAATGGCATAAATAGCTCAAAACATGTCTTCATGTCACCGACTCTGGTCAGAGTAAACCTTGTATTCCAGGGGTCATTTTGATGACATTTGCAGCAGCTGCCCTGCCATGTACATCATGAGATCTTACCATTTTTGGACTTGAATCTTTTAGCACCAGCGACCTCCTCCTCTGATCAGATGTGTCTGTGTCTTCTGGATGATAGTCCACATTGTCTTCCTCCTTAGAAACCTGCCCGTCGGAATCGCTATGCTGCTCTGTGTCCTCTCCTTCATTTTCACCAAAAATATGATGCATAACTTGGCTCACTGTGAATCTTCTTCTCATTTTTGTAAGCTGCAAAACGTAAATGTGCACTCTGGAAGTCAAATGGTTACTCAAATGAGTGAATTCACATCACATGACTTGACATGCCCGTCTTTGTTAGTTTTGTTTTCATGCAGGTATACTAACCCTAACTACGCAAAATAAGAATCCCCTAAAGCTCATATGATTAGCTGGCTGTAAGTGTTTTAGCTGACAGTGCACTTATGATTTCAGTTTTGGCTCTGATTATTTCTTTGTACACATAATATTATAACTGGGTCCAAACTGACCCTAACAACACAAATGTCATAATTTCAACTAGAGCATTTTATAATTTAGTGAAAAGATTTTGTTTTTGTTTTATTTTGTAGAAATATAAGTTCTTGACAAAGTCAAAAAGCCTTGATACAATAAACAAATGTATATGATTTTTTTATGCATTTAAAATTTCAAATCTGTCAGTGCTGACCCTAACACAACAGGAAGGTAAAGAAGTCTGAGCAGCTTTGTAGAATTAAACTGTTGTCGTATAAAAAGCAGCTGCTGTGCTGTAACACCCAACTTCACCAGTAGATGGCAGACATTAAACATTAACATTAGACATTAAAGTCCAATCGTTCATTTCAAGCTTCAGTCAGAGGAGGATATCTGAGCTGGTCCAGGAGACGTGATCAGGAAAGAAGTCCAGTCTAAGTCACATGTTCATGAGTCTTTAGTTCATCAGACACTAAATACAATAAATAATCTCCGTTTTCATCTTAAACTATATATTTTGACCCTGAATGTTTCCCAGTGAAAGGAACAATACATTAAAAATCAGTCAGTCAAACAATATTTATTACTGACAGCACCAGGTTTATTCACTTCTATACACAGCAAATCCAGCATGTCCAAATTAACACTGTCGGATTTGATTTCAACACTATTAAAGTG